TTGGAGATCGTATTTAATCTACATCAGCCTCAATTTCCTCAATTATCAAATAGAAATGACAGTATATATCTGTCAGGGTTATTGTCAGAATTAAATCGTTTTCTCTATACCTGGCATGTAGCTGGGTCTAATAATGCATGAATATGAACTATTTTTTCCCTATAACAGTTCTGTTTTATTCATTAGAACATAAGGACATTTGCTTATGCTCAGGCTGATCATTTAATTTAGATCAGTCAACAGAGAAGTGACAATTATTTTAATTGTACTATTTTGTTTATGAAGATATGTTTTCTCATTTTGTTTTGCTTTTATATTGTTTTTACTTTGCTTTGTATTTTGTTCCTTTTCAATTTCCCACAGTCAAGAATGACATGAAAATACTTCAAAATACAAGTCTCCTCCCATCAGAAACCTTGTACCTGCTAACTGTGTAATATCAGAACGGGGCGGGGGGTGAAGAATCGTTTAGTATCTATATTGTGGAGATGAAAATCTAAGGATCAGATTGGGTCCACAAAGCACAGAAGGTGCTCCCTAGCCAGAATCTTTAAGAAATCTCCTCAATCCCATGATATAGTTGGGTTTGTTTTGCTGCTTCCATACCCCAATCGCAAATGAAACAAAAGCAAGAAAACAAAACAATACTTGAATAAAATGACACTTCAATACTCAAAAGGCCAAAACATTAAAAAAAAAAAGTGCGGGGGGATTCCTGTACTATTTATGGGAGCAGATAAGTAAGGCAAAGTAACCTATTTGCACGAGAATGCAAAAAGCAAAAATGTCAGAAGTTGATGGAGAGTTCTTAACATACTCGCCCAGTCGCTCTCTCTCAAGCACATCATGCATATTGGTTTTATTCCAAAAGGTTTTCTCCCCCCATTTGGAAATTCATATAGAAAACACGTTATAAATTCTAGTTTGGTTCCTGATTATTTGTACAGCCTAATTATAGGGCCTCTATTGTCCAGGGCAAGAGCTTCATATGCTCTTACGCGCTCTTCTCACTCATACTTTGCTATGCTCACTCAGTCTTGCTTTTCTTTACTTGTTCCATTCCTCTGCCCTGACACAGTTTTTCCTTTCTAGCCACCTTAAAATGCCTTTCCACCTCTTCAGTTTGAGGTCTGAATACAGGGACACAAACCTCCTCTAGATGACTTTGGTGACTCCCAGGTCTTTCCGGGGTGACTCCGTCTCTGATGTGCAGTAAGTGCTGCTCATATAGATATCAGATTAAGTGCACAAGTGATCTGAGACAGGGTGACAAAATTAATTGAAGCTCAAATGCATTTCAATGAAGAACATATAATACAGTGGAAAGACACAGACTTTGAAACAAATGCATCTAGGTTGAAACGTCAGTGTGCCACTTTCTAGGTTTGGTTTGAGTGATCTTAATAAAATTAACCTCTGAGCTTCAGCTGCCCCAGAAAACTATGGCTCACAGGATGTTGTCAAGCTTAAAAGAGAGAATGTGAATAAAACATTTAACAGTACGGGCACGTCGCGGGTCTTGGCATCTGCGTCAACCCTTCTTCTTCTCGCCTGACCATCCCATTTAAGATATCCTGACAACTCCAGTGTTCAAAATCTTAGACTTTAATTCTTGAGCTCACTATTATTTCTAGTATATTATTGGTTTTTATGTTCACTTGAAAGTCAAACTATTCTCTTTGGCCCACTTTTTTATTTTCTAGGAACAAGGTCCAATTCCATTCACTTCTAACTTCAGATGAAAATAACTTAAGTTCTCTTGAGATCTGATCACAGGGACGCTCTGGCCAGTCTTTCCCTTGATGATGCAGGTTGCCGTTGATTAAGACTTTCACCTTCATCAGATTTTTCTAAAACTCAGATTCTTGCCCAACTCTGTGCTTTCTGAATGACTAAGTTCTTCTTCTTCAGTCTCTGACCAAGGTTTATTATTAATGGACTCTCCATTCTTGTAACATACATTTAATTATTTGCAACATGCCTGGTTGGTTCAGTTTATTTCCCTCTTAAACCGAGATAAAAATTTTCACACTTACACTCACACAAACTCACACTCAGAAACCTCCTTAGTCTTTAAAGGCCCTAATATGAGTAGCTGACCTGGTACACAGACTACACTGGACAGAAAGCACTCCTATCTCCCAGTCTTCCACGTGCCCTAGGAGGGTAGGTCACCATCCCAGGGCAGCGGTAGCAACACGAACAAATATTAGTACAAAATACAAAAAACTCCAGCACTTTCTCTAGGGTTATCTCTCATTGAAATTGCTCTCAACTTTTAAAGCTAACTAGCATGTATTGAAGATTTTCTTTGTGCCAAGTACTAAGCATCATGAGCCTCCAATCTTTAAATCTAATCCAGGTTTTGAAATCATAGACAATACTTTTATTGTGGGAGACAGTGGAAAACATTTTTTCCTATGGATTAGTTTTTAACGTTATGTTCTAAGAGCAATAACATCTCAGGCCTGGCAATAAAGCGTGGAAGAAATCAAACCATAAAAATACAGTGCTATCCTTCAGTATTATTTTGAGGAAACTGCTAACAGATGTTTTCCTCTTGTCCAGAGTGGGAAAAAAGTTCCTATTTTGGATTTAACTTCATTTTCACCTGAATGAAGAGTGAAGTTCCCCCAAGTTTAAGTGCATTCTCTCTTGCTGCCTGTCTGTGTGGGCCTGAACAGGACCGACCTAAGTCGGCTCTATTATTACTGTTTAAATGCCCTCACCACCCCCTCTCCAACCGCTGTGTCAAAGAAAGCTACTGCTGTCACCAAACAAGGAGTCCTCATTGTTGTGACATTTCATTTATCTAGGCAGCAACATGCTTGAAAGGCGACTGCCTAGTTCTAAGTAAAGTATGGAAGACAATCAAGCCCAGTTAAGCAAACCAGTGTTGACATATTAAATCATGCTTGAATCAAGAGAGCAAAAACAGATGACACACAAAACCTTCTAAAGAGAATTTTAAATAAATAAATAATACAGGTCAGTCGGATTCTAAAAAAAGAAGCTTTTAGCATTGAAAAATACTAGGACTAGGTGAAGATAGGGAAATCATTCACAGGGGCACGTAATTATGTTGCTTTCTGATTGTGAGGTGTAAACCCAGCGTTAGTGTGGGAAAGGGAAGCCTGAGGGGAACACTGGGAAACCTTGGTGAGATCACGTCACATTACTTTCCAATCCATAAAATGGAAAATAAAATTTTGATAGTCCTATCCTTTATTTAAGAAATGTCCTAATGGAACCCTTTCAAAGCGCTTTGAATTCATCAGAGGAAAAGCCCTTATGCATATGGAGTAGTGTGTTGTTATTCTCCTTCACAATCACACAGCAGGAACTTTGGAGCATTCATTCTCTAACTCTGATTCCTGCTAACAATTCCATCAAAGAAATGGAGTTATCCATCAGTCAAATTATCATTTGCTCTAATTGTTACTTCCCCCAAACAGTGGCTCTTCTTTCTTTCCGTTCCTTTTCTTTCTTTAAGCTACACCTTAACAGCACTCAAATGAGCAGGGTATCTTCAAGCTCAGAAAAGATCAAAGCATATCAGCAAATCACTTCAGTTCTTATAGATGAATCCCTACTGGTCAGCCTTAAATGCAGACAACGCATTTAAACACCAAAGAGAATCAAATACTAGAAGATAAGGTGTGATCCACATCCATGACCAAAAATAATAAAGGATACAAAAGCATTTTCATGTGATGAAAACCAGTTATGAGATCATGAATAGCTTAGAATTCACATTCTTATTATTACAGCTAACGAATGATACACTTTCTAGAAAGAACTATGCCACAGCTAGTGGCTCCACACCTTCCTGCTTTATAATAATTAGCATGTCCTTGTGGACTAACATATAAGTTAAATTTAAGGGCGATAAATTATATAGTTTAGGTAAACAGCATACTTATCTTTTTTCCTGTGAGTAGTATAAATAGGATATATAAATATATCAATTAGATAGATTGATACCTACAAATTAAGCTAAGATTCTTATTAGTTGGTTAGTGTTCTGTGCAACTCTCAAAACTGGTTAGGTAGATTTTTCAAGGCTAATCCATATAGGAGGTGTACTAAATCTATATAGGTGGAGCACAAAACATTTAACATATTATTAGTTATAGAAATATGACCCTAAGAAGAATTAGTGCTTTTTATTCATGATTATCATTGATGCTATATCTTATTACCAACTACTACTGTGGTTGATTGATCACTAATCAATTATTGTGATAAGTGTGTTTATATACTGTACAAAGTGCAATAGCAGAACGAAGAATCTGAAGTTAAATATATGATTCTAATCCCAAGTCTAAAACGTGGTGGCTGTGTGACATTGGGCAGGTGTCAGTCAATACTGATGCCCAGGCCAGCAGCACACAATGGAATTGGAATTTCTTGTAGGTGCGTCCTGCAACAATATTAAAATTATTATGTTGCACTATAAATGTTGAGAACAGCACAGTTAGATAAAAGTTGGTCCCAATAATAATTCATCAGTAGGAGGAAATGTTAAATCATGTGAGGAACTTCTATAAGTCGATAAAAAGACAAGCATCCCCCAAATGAACAGGTAATTCATAAATTGGAGTGATTAGGACATGGGTGTCTTTTGTACATTTTTCTCTACTTTGCTGCTGTTTGATTTTTCCCCTAATTTGCCAATATTGTCTATTCATGATAACAGTAGAAAGAATTGATAGTAAGTATGAGATTCCTAAGTCAAGATGCAATTAGCAGAAATAAAAAAAGAAAACAACATCATTAGGTATAATACCGTCATGAGTTGTATAATTACAATCTGTATCAAAAAACTATATTAAGAAACATCTGGAGGGGGAGATAAATATGGAATTAACCCATAATAGTTCTGAAACAACAAGGATAGTGCAATATTTTGACATATTTTCAAAAGGATTAGTATAAATATATTTCTGGTCTTGCCCTTATGTAGTTATATGGTCCTAATTTATCTGTACCTCAGTTTCCTAATCTGTAAAATAAAGAAGAAAAGAGCATTCACTCTAAAAGTCCTTTATATCAGTGTTTCTCAAACTTGACTGTACAAAAAACCACCAAGAGATCTTGCTAAAATGTAGATTCAGATTCAGTTTTTCTGGAGTGGGGACTGAGATTCTACATTTCTAAAAAGTTCTCAGGTCATGCTGATGCTGCTGGTCCATGTCCCAATCCTGAACTAGGCACGCTTCTTATGCATTTCCAGGCAGACTTTGCAGGTGTATATTGTATTATTAAACATCTCACATAGGAGGAAAGTTGGGCTCAATCTGGTTCTGTATTTTGCCACAGTCATACGTCTACCAAATGGAAGAATGAGATTTGAACTGAGCTTTACATTGCCTTAGAACTCAACTCCCGTAATTTATTGCACACAAAAATCTCCTGGTGATTTCAGAGATCAATTTTAAAGTTTTAAGTCTACCGAATGATTTTATGCAAGTGCTGGCTACTTTGTTTCTTATCATTTGCATTCATTTTTTTGAACTTGTTGCTCTTAAGACTGTGAGAACGGACACTGACATGAAACTCAACACTAAATTTCTCTGTACAAACAACTTTTCCCATGAAAGCTATACTGATTTATGTTATCAGAATTTGTGAAAGTCCTTTTGTTGCTATCTGAATAATAAGAAAAGAAGCAAACAATAAAACAAAAAGGCTATGTTTTGGTTTCCTAGCACATTTAAATGTCATGAATTTTAAATCAGTTTTAAATATACCAATTAAGATACGGTCTTTGTAAGATCTTTATCATTAAACATTTTTTTCTGATAATTATCTTTCCATATTAATTTTTATAGTAAGAGGAGCCTGTCCAGTGCATCTAATTTTAATGTGCTTGTTATCAAGAAGTGTTTGTACAGTATGAGCCACTTGAACATAAATAGAATCATTAATTCTCCATCCATATGATCATGATGGAACTCAAGATCATTAATGTTAAAACTCATTTGCACAGTAACAATATGGAATGTGCCATCATCATAATAAAACAACCTAGAGACCTTCCCAAAGTAAAATTTAAAAAGTAGTTATTACTATTACTGTAAATATGAGGTAGAGCTTTTAACTGTTATATGTATTCTAAACTAATATATATACATAGAGACAGAGAGACAGAGTCAAGATTTTCACTACTATACTTTCTTTTATGAGTGAGAAAGGAAGGGTGCAAATCAAGATTAAAAGTTTGCCAAGGAGAGATTAGAGTGGTTCATCTATTTCCTTTCTGTCATTGCAAAGTCTCCCTTTTTCATTATGCATATATAGCTGAAGATTCACAAGCTACTAAACATTGTTGGACCAATGAAACATTAAGTTCTTAAAAAAGAAAAGGCTTTCATTCTTTCAATGAGTGTAATAATTTACAAGCAGCCGTCCACCAATACCACTCACAAAGAAACTGAATCATTTCATGTTTGATATGCATGTATTTGACCCTTGATATTATTAGGAATTCTCTATCCTTAAGATAGTATAATATGTATATGAACAGCCTCTTTTATCAGGTAATTGCAGGAATTAGCAGCTCTTTTATTACTCAGATTTTAATATGCAAATACATTTTAAAAATATAATGTAATTTTAGATAGACACAAAATCGATTAATATAATACAACAGATCTCTGCACCAAAAGCTCCCTCTGCTTGTTAAGCTGTTCCCCATAGTCTTTACATGGCTGTTTTTTTTTCACGTCTATGTTAAACACTACCTTTACAGAGAAACGTTTTCTTACCGCCCTATCTAAACTTACGCATTCACGCTGCCATTAGCAACTCTCATAAATTACAACTGTAGATGTGAGTTCATATGTACGTTTGTATGCCTATGTGTCTGCATTCCTAGTATACAGGAATTGTACAGACAGGATACAGCGCCTAGTACAATAATAACTCAAAGAATGAGTGATAATATCTGACGAGAGAGCAAATCTTCTTTATAAAGCTGATTCTACTGTATTTATATAGTTTTGATCACCTAATAAATAAAAATGTAGGATTATCCTTTGATAAATGATATTGCTCAAGAATATACTATATAGTTTGAGAAAACTAGAGAATTTTCTAATCTGAAGCTACCCTACATTTTACAATAGACAGACACATATTAATGAGATGTGTAAGAAATAGCTAATGTTCACCGAATAAGCACTGTGTGCTAGGCACGATTCTAAGTACTTTTCATATAATGTCTCATAGGATTGCTATAAGGTAGTCAGAAATGAAGAAAGCAAGGACTAGAGAGAGTCAATAACTTGCATAGAGATAGAGAGCTGATAAATAGCAGTGGTAGGATTGGTATCTAGGCATTCTGGCCCAAAATCTACGCGCTTAAACCACTAGAGATGCTGCCTTTCACAAGCAGCGTATTTCCCACTATGCCCAAGTTAAATTAGTCACATTTCAAAATGTACACCTCCTTCGGTCTGCACAATTTTAAGAAAAAAAATGTTCACTTTTGCAAAGGTAACCAGTCTATAAATATATTTAGTTTCAGCAGCACATCTGCTCATTTTGGGGAAAGAGAGTATATTTCGATGAGTAGTTCTCAACTGGGAGCAATTTTGCCCCCAGGGGACATTTGCCAATATATGGAGGCATTAAAATGGGGAATGGAGTGTCCTACTGCATCTAGTGGATGAAAGTCCAGGGAAGCTGCTAAATATCCCACAATTGGACCACCCCCTCCCCCAGCAAAAAAGTATCTGACCCAAAATATCAATAATGCCAGTGTCGAGAAACCCTGATTTAGAAAAAAAAAAAAAAAAAAAACGAATGCAGAGTGTGCTCTAAAACTTTAATAGAACTAATCCAAAACTATTCAAGGGAGGAGTTTAAAAGAAAAAAAAAATCTATTTTATTAGTCTCACGTGTAATACCTGCAAATGGACGAAATGACTTTACTTAATTGTCTTAGTGGTGGTTCACAGCAGCGGGATACACACACACACACACAGACACACGTGCAACATTGACATTCTGTACTCCCATAATTGCCATCTTTTGTTAAAATTTCAAAATTAAGGTTAGTTTCCTTCGTTGCATAAAAAAGCATACCAAATAGAACCAAAAGTTCAACCCCTTTGATGTTTTTTTGGTAATCCACCTAATTAAAAATAACTAGGCTCTCCAATGCATAATTACGCAAACACCTAATACACTATGTTTCCAGCCAATTTTGTTTCAAACATAAATATGCACCAGAAGTATGAATGATCGACGTACTACTCCCTGCAGAATCTGTGCTGTTTCTGAATCAAGGTTCTTTCTTCAGTTCAGTATTTTCACTACATCTTCCTTGCTGTGCAATCATCTCCCACTTGGACAATTAATAACTGCTTTTTCTCCACAGCCCTTGGTGTGTAACCCCCCTTACCCTGTACTTTAGCATGCACTATACACCTTCTTCACTCTGACTGGTTTTGGCAGTGACCCACAATCTAAATCTCTTTCCTCCATTTGATATAAGTGAAACTATAATTATCTAGGGGTAATTTCAAATTACTACTTCATTCCACTAGCAACTGATGAAGATTAGTGGTCTTGCCTTGCATCTGAGCAAGTCAGCAACATAATCACAAGAGAACTCAGCAGGCAACATTTGATTCATGTGAACTCAATTACTTCTGTCAAACACATTCACTTCAATAAAAAGCAGAAACTTCCAACATGGGTTTTTGCTAACAATTTTGTACTCAAAAAAAATTCCATATGACTCTTAAGGGAAAAAAAATAGCATGAATTTCATCAGAAATAATAATAAATAACAAGTAGGGAAACATTCTTTTATAAATGGGTTTAATACATTATTAGTTTCAGAAAATAAAGAACATTTCACAGAAATAAATCTGTATACTTAAAGCAGTTTATTATAGAAAATTCAGGCATATAAGTAACCCTTAGAAGAGTAAATACACTCTATATTTTAAGTTAATACAATAGAAACCACGGTATTTTGTTACCTCATTAAAACCGGATTATTATGGGAAAGGTAGTCGATTTCTCTTAAAGGAAGTTAAAAGAAGGTCCATGAAGATGATAGCTCAAAAATTGCTAAATGGACAAGAACTTCAGAATCACTTCTTGGTTATCTTCCAGGTTGAAACCATATGTTAATGAGCTGCCTAGCATTCTGATTCCTCAAGGTTTAGTCTCTAAAAGCCCACGTGTCAACTCCAACATGCCCTGCACGTATATCAGGTCACATGAGCACGATCTGTCAGCAACTACCTGCTCACCTCCCAGTACAGACACAGTAAATATTAACATATGATAACCATTACAACAGATTTACTCAAACTTCAGCTTCTCAACATAGTTAAATCTTTAATTAAATCCCACCATGTATTTATCATCAAAGAAACTGAGTAATTATGTGTAAATATATAATAAGACTATATTATGAACACATTTCAGTATGTGATGTTTTGAGGTCTACAAAAATCACTAAGATGGTCTCTACAATAGTTAATATATCATATGCCAATCACATATGATTTAATACCTGGAGCTTGAAAATTTGGTCAGAGAATCTTAGGACCAAAATAGGATTAATTTAAAAGACAATTGACAAATTGTGTGACCAAGGAGATTTTCTACAGATGAATATAAAGGAAAAATAAATCAATATTTTTAAAATGTAGTATTCTTTGATGCCTTTGCCCACTCTATTTCCTCTTTTGATTTCATTTTCCCTACCTCTTGCCTTTTGATTTCTTTCTCATTCCTTAAGACAATATATACCACCTCTGCCCTCAAGGAGTATGTAGTCTAACAGGGGTAGGGAGAGTTGTTGTCAAATAATAAATTAACAAATATATGCAAAAATCTTAACTCTAAATAGTTTTCTCAAGGACAGATATGAGTAAATAATAGAGATGCCTGACCTAATTAGTCTTGAAGAGTCAAGACAGCTTCCCACAGGAAGGGGTGTTGGAGCACAGCTCTGAAGGATTAGTATGAGTTAAACAGGCATAAAGGAGGTGGAAGAATGTTCCAGGGGAAGGGAACAGAATCACAGAAGAACAAGTACTGAAAGTGGCAAATTGTCTTTGAGAAACTGAAAGAAAGCAAGCAAGTGTGGCTAGTGCCTAGGGAAGGGGAGGAAGCATAGTGTAAGACGTGTCTGGAGAGATAATAGGGGCAAAACCATGCAGGATCTTAGGCTACTAAAAAAACTTGATCTAAAGGAAACCATTGAAGTGTTTAAAGTGTGTATGTTGGGAGTAGGCAGGACAGATGAGGATGAGTGTGTGAAACAACCAGATTTGCATTTTTGTAGAGTGATACATTCACACAGCTCAAAAATCACAACTATATATAAAGTCATTCATTATATTTGAAAATAAGGTTTCAACAAGATATGTTTAGTTTGGAGAAAAAAAGGAAATAGAGAGACGAGGATGATTTTAAGAGATATTTGGCTGATAATTTCTACAAATATTTTGTGACGGAATGGAACCGGGTAGTGAGTAGGAAGGAGATGTCAAGAAGGATTCCTAATTTCTGGCCTTTCAAGCATCAAGATGCAACTTAAAGACTTGGGGATAGCACGTTAATATCATAGAATGAGTAAGTTATGGTTGAATTTTATATCTCACACACATGCGCACACACACCCGTATACATTTATATTTGCATACACATATTATGTATAGATATAAATGCCTCGAGAATATCTGCGATGCCTTAATGCTCCAAAACAAACCTTCAACATATATTTATTCATTCAGTGAGATGTTATTTATAGAAGAAACATTTGACATTCCTTGTAGAATGGCCACACACCATTTGTACATTGGAAAACCCCAAGAGGCACTATTCATATAGACTACATTGTGTAGAACACCCTCTGGGGTTGTGTAGTCCACAGCCTTCATGACCCCATAGCCTTTGTTCCTATTACCAGAGTGGGCTAACAGACACATTAATGAGGACAGAGTCCAGTTTAGTGAAGTTTTCTACAATGTAGCCTTTCCAGTTCACCCCACTGTCTCTCAGTTAGGTCTCTACTTCTCACACATTAAGAGTATGAGAAGAGAACGAAACGGAGTAAATGCCTGCACTAAGAAACATTCTGTCAGAACGCTACTTCCCCAAGATATTTTCATGATAAGCACCCGCAGAATGTTTTAATCCCAGCAACAATCAAAAATTATCTCCTGAAAATGCAGAGGTTTTTTATATCCTCTGTCAATAGGGATGAAGACAAAGGTCACTGTGTTCTGAACTAAAGTGACCACATATTCCCTAAAACGATATAAACAACAATCAAATAGAGCATGCTGCTTTACAATACTAGTAAACAAATTTTTAGAAATAATAAGATTTATATTATAAATATTTTAGAAAAAAGAATGAAATGTATTCAATGGATTGTATGTAACTCCTGCTTCTGATTCTACACTTACATATATCCTCACCTTACACCAAGAAGACTGCTCAAAAAAAACAGTTAAGATAATGTTAGTTAGAACTTTCCTTTAAATCCAATAACAAATAAAATATGATTCATTTCCCTGACAAATTTAAAAGCACTTCTGAAATATAATTTTGATTTAATAAAACTTTATATACATATATATGTGTATATGTATATAAAGCTAAAGAGAGTTGTAGATTATATGGAAAAACAACCATACACTTAACTGTAGATGGTACTGTAGGGAGATAAAATATGGACTGATGCTGAAAAAGGAAATTTAAATACAGTGCAATGTGTTTCTATTGAGAAATAATTAAGCAAAGTCACTATGATTTACAGGTAATTTTCCTAGTTTTGTTTCCCTGGATCTATAACCAACCTACAGTAAGGCCAGAACAAACGAGCAAGTTTGATTCACATTATATAGTGGATTTAGGAAAAAAAAAAATGCACCTGAAACTACCAGGTGGGATTAGGGGACTTCTCAGCATTTGGTTTTCTCCTCAGTTAATACACATTAACTCTCATTACCTATTTAGCATGTGTACATCATGGTGAAAACAAGTTCAGGTTCAGAAGGATGAGTGATTTTTTTTTTTTAAGAAAAAATGTTTTCTTCCTCATAAGCTGTTCTTCACTTTGACGTAAAGTACTATGCTGTTCCAAAAAGCCACTGATAAATATCCAAGTTTAAAAGGGCAACTCACCACATTATGGGCAAAATGAGGGTATTTTCAAATAAAGAGGGAAGCATGCATGATCAAATTTCAATTTAAAAGAAAAATTAAAACAGAAAAAAAATCTCCAAGTGCAAATTGCTTTGAAATGACCTTTTTGTATTGGCTTTACCTCCAAACGGTTATTTTCTTGGGCACTACTTACTCTGCATTTAAAATTGACCTGTAAATTTTTAAAAGCAAGCATGTAGCAGCAATTATATGTAAACAACACAGTAAACTAAGTCTTGACAGCTTACAGATATTTTCCTATGGAGTTTATATGGCTGAACTTCTGCAGAATTTTTAAAAGCAGATCAAAGCATGTCACAACAAGTCTCACCTAAGATTTGCATTTGAATTTTATATAGCAAGTAAAGAGGACTATTCTCTTTTCTTGGAGAGGAAAACAGCAGTAGAGTAGCAGACAGTAATCATACAAAAAGTTACATACAAAGAAGTAACCCCTTGGTTGGACTTGTTCAAAAATAAAATTTCTGAAAGCAAAATGAATATGAAATATTACATTGCAAGTTAGACACTGAGTATTAATTATGTATATCCAATAAAATATTACATTAAATCTTTCATCATTGCCAGAAATTTTAAAATTCTGAGAGGAGAGAAATCACAGTTGAAGAGAAATAATCTCCATAAATTAGCAAAGTAAAAGGTCATTTGCTCATAATCGTTGGAAGAAATACATATACATGATCCAACCGAAGCAGACAGCCCCGGCAGACCCGCAGGCAAATCCTTACCTTGACAGGTGCCATTTTTCTCTTCATACCCTGCCTTGCACATGCATTTCCCGATGGGCACCAGCCACTCTCCTTCAGCGCTGCAGTGCATTTTGGGTGGTTCATCTGTCACAGAATGGTTGACACAGGAGCCCGACACTTCGAGCAACTGCGAAGAGTCAGCTCCAGTGATCGTGTCAGGGAAGACAGCCAAGTGCCGTACCACAGAAGGGCACTTTTTATAGTACACACGCACAGAAACCAGAGCAATGCAAGCACCCACATCTTGAAAAGCAAGATAAAATCCCTTTTTGCTGAGAGGTCCTACATCTCTGACCTCCGTATTGAGTTTCATGACACGGTCACCAAGATCAAGTTCTGTAAAACTTTCATCTGCAGCAATGGTATCAATTTTGATGTACTGGTTTTCCTTGATGTTTCTCCCATTCTCATCATCTGACTCAAAGTAATACATGTTAAAAGTCTCCTTACAGGTCCCCAGTCCTCCAGGAAGGCTGTTGCAGTCCCGCAGAGTAAACTTGAGTTCTATAAAGATTCTGGAAGCACCTTCATTGGAGATCCAACTGGTCAAAAGCCAGTTATTCTGATTCTGTTCCATAACTTTGCATACTTGGTATGTGTGGATAGGGGCATAATTTTCATCAACTTCACCAATCTCTTCCCACTGTGTAATATAAAATAGAAAGACAAAAAATTCAAAAAAATTAGAAAATAACCAGCAAAAATAGTCAAAGGAAACTAAGTCAGACGTAGAAATTTCTATAGCGTTTTATATATATAGTATTGGGAGAAGGAGCTACATAGCAAGAATTTAAAAAATTATTTCCCTTTTTAAATTAAATAAATTAATAACATATTTATTGTCTGCAACATAACACAAAGGTGAACACATACAAATGATATTTCCCAGAAACAAAACATGTATTTCAGAGTAAAAATAAAAAGAAATTGAATGTGGATGCGGTTAACAACAAGGAACAGTGAATGGAAAGTATATTTGTATGCAGATTTGGAAGAAAGTGAAGTATATAAACTAAGAGAGTAGATAAAGTTTGAGAGAAAAAAGGAAGTACAATTTTTTTAAAGACAACAACAAGGAAAAAAAGCAGTAAATGTGGAAAGGGAGGGAGAAAAATGTAACATGTGAATCCACATTTATTTAATTCTGGCATGTTACAAATAATACATCAATGTAATAAAACTTGAAAGAAAATTCATTAGTTTCAAATTAATAATAAATGTTTATTTCATTGAACCAATCTGTTTAGGACTCTTTTACAAATTGGATAACTAAATGTTTATTCACAGATTTATCCACAAATAGAAACCTAATGACAGGTGTAAAATAGACATAAAAATGTTAGAGGGCCGGCCCCCTGGTATAGCGGTTAAGTGTGTGGCCCGGGTTCAGATTCCTGGCGCGCACCAAAGCACCACTTGTCAGGCCATGCTGTGGCGGCGTCCCATATAAAGTAGAGGAAGATGGGCATGGATGTTAGCCAGTGCCAGCCTTCCTCAGCAAAAAGAGGAGGATTGGCATGGATGTTACCTCAGAGCTGATCTTCCTTACACACACACACAAAAATATTAAAATTATAGATTAGTAATATGGAGAGCCTTGTCATTTCAAATACTAACTGCCTTCTTATTATATCCTGGGAATGCATTAATTCTTCTTTACCAATGCATTATTTTATGCACAATGACCTTAAGAGTACTGAATATATACAAGATGTAGAAAACATTAAGTATGGTTTATATAGTTTCCAAAATATTATTTGGTCAAAGAAGAGATCCAAACCTGTCTCTTTCCTGGTAAAACACTACAGTTTTGAGAACTATAACCACCTTCTGAATAGTACAGCACCAAATTTTTATTCTTCATAAAGATGTTATTATAACAAGAAATTTCTTAAACCCGTATAGAATCTGTGTATAAAACTATATGTAACTTTGCTTTAAATCTTTAAAAATGGCCCTGAAGCACACAGAGCAATCATCTGACTTTCAATAAATCCAGAATGTGATTTTAGACATTAAGTATTATAGATAATAAACTTCATAGAACATCATTTCTTTAGACGTGAAATTAAATAGAGGATTATTTCTTGATTGTGTTCAACTGCCAAAGATGTGAAAAATGTGGAGTCCCAGGGATGCACATAAACTGCATATCTCAGATGGCCCCTCTCAAAATTCTAGCTGCCATCAGACAGACATAAGTAAAAGGTACTAATGAGGGAAAACTGCTGAGCGCCTTAAATTCACAAGAGAGAGACATGGAGATTTTATCTTGCCTAATAACTTTCACATCATGGTGTTATGTAAAGTCTTAGTTCTTTCATTTACTCTCACTTTTGTCCTCTCTCAAAAGGTATGTAAACTCTACTTAGCCTCCAATTTTCTAAACTCACTTTCTATTTCAGCGCTCTGTCATTAAACTACTTACATTTTCTTCCTGAAATGATACAGGTATCAATATCTTTATTATAAATGGTTACTGAATGTCACAATTAATATTTCATGCAAAAGCACGTGAAATATTTGTTTTCATTTTGGTTAGTTGAGGTGTGCTCAACTAACCAAAAGAAAACAATAAAAATGATCAACTTAGTGTAACAAGATTAATTAAATATATATTCTTTGAATTAGTAAAACGGAAAATAGCATCAAAAAAGCTCTTCTCTGAAAAAAGAAAATCAAAATGCTACATTATCTCTGTTTTAGATTTCTTTTATTTTATAGTAGTCTTTCAACACAAAACACAACTGGATTTCAAATCCTTGGCCTTAAATCATTTGTATATGACTTATTTCTGCATCATATATTTCAATAGGACCCTGCTAGCAAGTAAAAGGAGTTGGACGAGTAAAGAGAAATGAAATAGCAGCATCTTCCAAGATTATAAGGGCAGCATTTCACAGCCTTTGTCTGTACAATGTCCAAGGTACCACAAATATTAGGAAAAATGTAAGCCAAGCAGCACTTGACAAGACAGCTTAATAGTTACTGCTTCAGGTGATAATTTCAAAGTATGTGTATAAGCATCTTGCTTCTCTGAATATTCTCAATTAAGAAGAGAAAAACTGTAATTTTCTTTGATGTTAGAATCTATCATGGTGAGATTTTATTTATTTTTCTTTTCAAGTGTCCAAAATATAAATGAAGGCTCATATTTTCTATTTCTAATGAAGAATAGAAAGACTTTAATTTAAATAATTATGGCCATAAGCCAGAGAATCAAATAGGTAATACATACATATTTCCCATAAATATCTGCTCCTACTTAGAAAAATATGCTAAGAAACAAACAAAAATATTTCATTTATTTTAGATTGACTAGCTGAAATAAAACTTTGAATTCTTCCAAGTTTTTTTCCCTTTTAATACAAAGTGGATATGTTGCTGTCCTCAGCAAAAATCTTACCTGTGAAGAAGAAATCAGGGGACGAAGAGAAAGTAACACTCATCAAGAACTTAAGAATGTGGTTGGTATTATATTCCTAGACGCTTCTGCCAATGTCATGACACGTCAAGGAGATTACAGTAGTTTCATGAAGGGCACAGATAGAAAACACAGTATTTTCGGTTCAATTTTGTTGGGTTTCCTGTGATCCCATGGTTTAATGAAAGTATTTGCTGATCCTTTGATTACCATAAACAATATGCCTGGGCATTTTGGAAGTGTGGTCACTGAACGCAATATGGTGACTGCAGCTCTGGCCTTCAGGTCTAGCAACTCCTCAAGGCCCACCCTCTGAGCTCATGCTTTTCTCTGTGTTTGTTTCCTCCTTATTCCTATTTCTTTGCTTTAAGATTAAAGAGCTGGTTTTACACAGTCAGCTTGGGCTGGCTTGATTTCCTTCCCAGATGCTTGGGCTTGCTCCTTTTCCTGCTGGGCACTAAAAACGCCAAGTCAGTTGCATTCTAATCCCATGCCCGGCCAGACATCACAAGTCAGCTATGTTCATCAGAGCAGTGGAAAAGAAAAACGATGGACTTTCATATCCATATGCATATCCTGGTGTTACCAACTTTTCCTTCCCAAGCCATTAAGAACTAGTTTCTCCCTGCCTGCCTCTCATGGCCCTGTTCAGTTTCTTGCCCCCATCTCCTATTGTCTCTTACCTGTTAGCATTGCTCTCATTCCAATCTTCTACCCTATACAACACTTCTTTTGCCTTCAGAACTTAAAAATACTGTATCATGACACATAGCCCAGCTAGAACCTCCCTTAAATTATGACCCCAAACACACAGTAGGAATCATCATGTGAACAGAGTTGATCTTGACCCTTCAAGGTTTCTGGGGGTGTCTATTTTTTAGCTCTGTTTTCATTATTGTGTTTCTATGTATCTTGCTTCTACAGAAAGGTTAATTTATTGAGGTTCAAGTACAGTGGTAAGAAACCTTGTAGTAGAAGTCTAAACGGAAATACTTGATTGATCTTGTACAGAGGAAAGATCATCAGCCTGAAGCCCCAGTTTTAGTCCCAGCTTTTACAATACCTAGATGTATAAATTGAGACCCAACCACTGGCACACTCGCTACATAATTTAGAGTGAGAAATGAAATGCTATATCCCAGTCATCTAATGTCCAATATAAAACATCAGAAGGGGTCTTAAAAGAACTGATCCTACCGTTCATTTTATAAATGAGGAAATTGAAAACCAGACAAAAGAAAGGATCTTCCCAAGCTCACAGAGGACCACCCTGACCATCTGATCATCCCCTCTGCCTGTGTCCACCTCTGTCTTCTTGTCAGCACATCTCTGTCTTTGATATGTGGATTTGTATGTGGGATTTCTTGATTCACTGCATTGATTGCTACTCCATTCTGTTGAAATTAAATTCACATTTTTTTCAGGCATAATGTAACCATAAATAATTTTTTCCATTCCTTCCTTTCTTCCTTTCCCTCCTCCCACCCTCCCTCCCTCCCTTCTTCTTCCCTCCTTCCCTCCTTCCTTTCTCCATATATCTTAACACCGAAACACAGATATGAGGGAAGAGACATGATTGTCTTATTCTCTAATGTATCTCAGAATCTGACACCACAGGACACAGAGTGTGTGCTTGATATTTTACAATGAATGAATTAATGTCAAATATATACACATCCCTCCTTAGTTCAGAGATACACTAATTTGAAATAATTCAAACATGGTAAATAATTCAAACATGGTAAATAAATAATTCAAACATGGTAAATAAGGATTTGCCTTTTGCTTTCATTTGAACAAAAATAAATTTTTTTCTCTGTAAATTGTCTGAATTTTATAAATTCAAATAAGAAGGAAATTCTACAAATTCATATTTTTTGAAAATTAGTCTTCAGTAAAAAGCTCTAAGAATTTATTTTAAGACATTTTCTTATTCCAATAATTCATACAATTATTTTGAGTTTAGTTTTGCATATTAATCTGCTGAACTATTTTTCATTGGCATTAAATTATACCAATTATAACTTACAGCTCAGTTTAGATAGGTTGTTTTTAAGTATATGATGTTTTAAAATATTCAGTTTTTACGTTTCACTCACTAACCTTCTTCACCATTCTGTACAGATTAAAAGCCCAGAGTACAGCCTATCAGTTAGTGGCATTATACCTTATTTCATATTTCAGTCAAATCATATTAGGACTATCTTAGTGATTTTCTT